CAGAGCAAGAGAGAGCACTTCCAAACAGAGCCTCATCTATATATGGGGCATGACGTGCATGATATGGAACAGACCATTGGCCAATTTGGGTCTCAGTCCTAAACCTAAGGTTGAATCCTAGGCTAGTAACTGGGGCTGTGCTCCCTTCCAGCTTCTCCTGTACCTGCAGGTACTGGCAGAGTATGAGATGCAAAAAGTCCTTGACTGTCCTGGCAGCAACTATAAACATCAGCATGTTATCATCCTTCTTCTCAGTACAGATCCAAATCATAGCCTCTTAACTAGCTACTATGAAGAAAGTTAACTCTCTCTCAGCTGAAACAAGGACAATTAGACATTAATTACATTTGTCCTCTGCTTATAGGAAAAAATGCAATAAATAGTCAAGGATAAATATCTTTTCATCCATTCTTCAAGTCTCATGTCCAGTTCAGCTATGCAATTGCCCATTTATAAAATTAATTTCTTATCATACCCTTTTGTACCACTTCATAGCTCAGCAAGAGCTATGGAAATGGAAACCTTTCTAGCTAAACAGGGTGTGTGAAGAGGATCATTGTAGTGAAGCTGTCCTGACGTGTTTCCTCAGGACTCTCTGAAGCACCCTACAGTGAGGGACTTCTTGAACAGCCAGATGGGTGCTGAAGGCTTAACTGCTGAACACATAATCAACTTTCTCCACAATGGGTCTCCAGGGAGCCGGGAGAAGGGAATGGCAGACTTTGACTGGCGGAACATCTTCAGTGCTGCAGACCAAGCTCTGCGTTTGTTCAGTCAGTATCTGGAGGTAAGGTCAGCCCTCCCCCTGCTGGGAATACTTGTAGAGAATATATTGAAGCATGGTAGGCAGTACTTGAGATCTGTGGCAACAGTCGAGAAGGTTAAAATCCTAAGACATCTTCATTGTTTCATCATCAAATTTGTTTCTAATTTAATCTCAGTATTAAAAGCATGTTTTAAAATAATACAGCAGTACAAGAACATTAACACTTATTATTATGAAAAAAACCTTCAATTTTATGATCCCCAAATGCAGTATTCAGAATGTTGGTTGAATGTCTGAATGCACTTTGATGTTGAGAGGCAGAAAGCTAATGCAAAGCCTCAAGGAAATGTTTTGTTAGGTTTTTTTTTTGTAAGCCCTAATAACTAACAGGCCACAAATTTCAGCAAGACCAGGACCAGAGAAGGTAATAGTTCTTTGGTAAGACCCCGTTCAGGTTTTTAAGCACCTGATCAAAATTCCGTTGAAACAAATGAGGGAGTTTCCACTTGTCCTGTAGCTACTTCTGACAAGATGTCTGTGTCTCTTTCCTGGAATCTGTACCCCCCTTCTCTAAGGTGCTATGTTTTCAATGGAGCACTCTGAGGCTTTTTTAAAGCCACAATGCAGAAAGTAAGGTGAAGTTTCATTACATAAATAAAAAATGCTAAAAATGTAGATGAAAATATCCATTACATTCCATAAGCCATCATAAAAATACTTTGGAAGATACTTTTAGTAAGAGGTTACCCTGGTAGGGGAATCTAATTTACTGAGGAGTTCATCAGATTCAGACTAAGTCCAGCGCAACAAAGGTTGTATTTTTTTAGAGAGCTAGGCAAACTGCTGCATCCATTCCTTCTCAGACCTGGGTGACACCCTAAGTTCTTTTGTTGTTGTTGGTTTGGGGTTTTTTTTTGTTCTCACTTTTTGGGTTTTTTTATTCTGTGTATTTCTGACTGCAGGTAAAGATGTGTTTGGAACTAGCCCTGAGGTGGGGTGGATTCCTGATAAGTTAGATAAATGAAATGCCAATTCTCCTTTGTAAACTTATGAGCCCAGGCAAAACTCATGGACCCTGCAATGTTGCAGGGTAACTCCAAGAGTTGTTGCTGTTGACAGTAATATTAATGCTTGGGAACTCCACATTTAGCACCTGCCATACAAGGGTCAGGGTCTTTATAGAGATGAATTACATCTTACAAGTATCTCTGCAAGAAAAGTACGTATTTATTTATTATTTAGTGGTTAAATTTTCTCAGTCTCACAGAGGAAATTGATACTAGTTGTAGGCAACAAGACCAAGCCTAGCTCTCCTAATTCCAATCCATTCATACCCTGCAAGAAGGCAGAAATTGAGAGTTTGTCTGCCTTCCTGTAGCTATTACAAGAGGCAACAAGAAAGCTTTTGCACAAAGCTCTGCTCATTCTTCTGATCTTTTTGCATCATGTTAGCAGAATTATTTCTTACTCAAGCTGAGTGAAATATATTGCTTGCAGCAGGTCAGTGCTGGAACATCCACAATACCAGGACAGTTACTGTACCTGGTAATAGATTGTTGTGTCCTAAAGTTCTTTGTAATGAGATTGTTCTTTAAGTCTGCAGTTTACACTGAGTTGTTAGCATTTGAGAATGTTTCCACACTGTGCCAAGCACAATGGGAACAAACAGCTCCCTTTCAGGGACACCCTACTCGTTATGGTAGTATGCAATGAGGAAAGGCATGCTGCCAGCAACTATCTTTGTAGACTCTCGATCTCTGCTGCAAGCTATGGTGCAGCTGAGAATCCCACAGATTATGCAGTGGGATTCATTCTCACCAACCCAAGAATTTCTGTTCTTCCCTTTGATTATCTTGGACCACAGAACAACTAAACTGTTTGTGAGATCTACCTAGTTGCCTCTTTATGCTTATTATTTTCTGGTTTTATCTTTCAAATCTGTTATTATTATTTTAGTTTTGGTTTTCCCATCTTCTTTGGACCATTTGAAATTGTTAAATAATTACTGGGAAAAAATCTGAAATAAATTTCCCCAAGTGGCTGGATGAGTGAATTTTTATATAGTGAGGTTTATGAAGGTAGAAGCGATGTTGCAGTTCACTGAAAAAAAAGCATAGGTAGAGCATACGGCCTTTGTTTTGAATGCAATTGATGTTAAGAGAGAGAAATTCTAGCTTTTGTCTAGTAGATTACAATATAAAATCTTTTCACTTTCAAATGATGTGAATTATTGCCACACTGGGTCTTAGCCTATGTTCTTGTGCAAGCTTTGCTTTCATTCTACTCACGCAGAAGACCTACAAGCACTTGTGTTTTCTGTTTTGAACACTTGCTTCTTCCTTGACTGGACCCCTGGATAAGAGCCTGTACTGGTCCTCAGCCTAGTCCAGACACTGTCTGTTCTGCAGTGAAAATCTGGACAAGATCAGTTGTCAGTCAGTACTTTGCCAGTGCCATTTCCACAGATTCTCCTGGAAAATTACACGAGTTCTTCTGCAGCTGCAACAAGCACCTTGAAAATAATTCTCATAAGAAAGAAACAGCAACTAGTCCTCCAGACACTCCAAAGACACAGTTACACAGAAGTACTTTACTGTGGGAACACTGACACTTTGGCAAGAACTAAACTGAGTTCTAGAATTCAGTTAACTACGTGGGATAAATGTATCCCCCAAGAAATTAATACAATCTGAGCCATCAGTCTAGTTTGATTTCTCTTCTGGCATAAAAATCAGAAAGTTCTTCTGCCTTATTTTACTTTCTGATATGAAATTCTATGTAGTTTAATTTTGTAAAGCAAACTAGGAGAATTAACATTTACAAAACACTGTGAAGAGTAAAGCTGCAAAATAATAAAGTTATAAATTTAAGCACTGTTTTGTTTTGCTGCCAGTTAAAAATATATTTTCATATAAATCCCATTAAGCTGTGATACTTGACGTTTTTAAGGAAGCAGAGCATGATTTGTCGCAGGGCAAGGTTAAATAAAGGAGCCTTTAAGATGTCTGCCCATTAAACAATAAGTTGCCTGTATGAGCACTTTCATGTGGAGTAATTTTTGGTTATTCACTTGCAAGAGACGATCAAGAAGATAAGATCAAACAAGTTAGCCTCCTGGAATTTTATGAAGCAAGGTAATTCAATAAGTATCTTCCCAGTCCATCAGGGGGTTAAATACTTCTATCTGGCAATCTTGCTAATTTGGAAGGGAGGAAGCTAAATATACAATCGTAAGTCTGTAATTTTACAGATAACTAATGACAGACTTTGTAGTGTTCATGATCTTTTTGTCTTACAATGCCTGTTAAGTAGGAGGTAAGTGGGGGGACACTAAGGGCTTAGATTTTGATGACTTGGTGTCTTGTATATGGAGTGATGATAATACATTTTGCAATAATGACAGAGACTAAGAAAGAAGACCGTTTGCTGTGAACAGTAAACTACATTTTATTATTGAGGTAACCAAAGCATGTTAACTTATGCCAGCAGGTTAATCACGTCAGAATTCAGTAGGGACACAATATTATCAGTGACATCAATTGACTAGTTGACTGGCATTAAACAGGAATATATGTCTAAATACCTAAGAGACTTTAAGATTCAAATTTGTGCTCTGACTCTGACAGTGCTTCACTTGACAAAGTGCTTTTCAGCTGAAGTCCGTGACTAATGTGCTTTTCTTATGGATCAGTCATCTTTTAACTCCCTGATGTTCACTCAGGCACTTCCTAGGCTGAAAAAAAAGTCCCAAAATTTGGAAAAGGGTAGTGTTTTGGTTCAACTGGACTGCTAAAAAGCTCTTGTGTCCAGATTTATTTTGTAGCTGAGTTAATTTTATCTCCTGGTTGCAGACTGTGGAGACAGTTCTTGATACTGGGACCTCATCCATGCTGCAGCTTTAGCCCTTCCAATTCAGATATTTGCCTTTTTGAGGGAACCTTCCAAGTATAGTTCAAGTGGCAGAGTTCACATTTCCATGGCTGGATGATTACAGTGGCTTAAATATATATTTTTTAAAATGTTTCATTCTATTTAATTAGCAAATGTGGTATCATAGGCTTTGTCTGAACCTATTACTGGCTATATGTTTTGTATAGGTACACCTAAATTTGCCCTGTCATATTGAAATTGCAGCAGCAGCTCCTGCTTTAGTGGCCACCCTTGCTTGATTTCTCACTTGTTAGGATGCACATTTCTTGAGCTTGGAGGAGGCAATCCTTAAATATCAGGAATACATTGCTTTCAAAATTATTCTATCCACTTGCATTGACCACAGCAATGTTAAATCTGAGGTTTACAGTTCTTTTTAGGGAGAATTATGTTTCTGAGCTTGTATTGGTATTATAGTATGGTTTGAATTTGTCATAAGAATTAGACTAAGAATGGGGAAGCTTTCAGAAAGGAGGAGAGAGTCAACTTTTCATAGTTTCAGCATAAGCTTTTAAAACTGAAAATAGCAGATTTTCATACTTCAGATGAACCTACCTCCCTTTTCTGTTTTCAACCGCTGATGTTTGCTTTAATGTATACCTCCTACTAGTTTATTCCCATACGATTTTTCTCTTTGTGATTATTTGTAGTGCTTGACCTTGGATAAATTTGAAGGTTATCTTGACGAAACTCAACTGACTCATCAAGCCCTTCATCTGCTGGAGGAAAACAAATTCTGGGCTGGTGTGGTTTTTCCAGACATAGAGCCTACAAGCAGCAGTCTTCCACCACTGGTGAAATACAAGATCCGGATGGATATAGATGCAGTGGAGAAAACAAACAAAATCAAAGACAGGTAAGGGATGGTTCCTTCTCAGTTCTTGCCTGCCATAACATGAATATGAGAGAGATAAGGACAGTAGAACTGCATGGGATACATGCATGAAATCCAACTGTATTCACCAATATTTGGTATTGTAATGCAGTGCAGAATGCATCTCCAGTTACCAGGTACTGACACAAGTGGTATCACTCCTGTGGCAGTTAGGCCAGGCAGTGCGTAGGTGCATGGAGATGTGGCAAAGGGAAATGACTCTGCTCAGAATCTGTTCAGTAATCTGCTTAAGTTTTTAGTTGTCTCCAACACTAGGGGAGCCAGACAAGGAAGTCCTGTGTGGATGGTGACCCAGCTGTCCTCCACCTGGACAGCAGAACTTCTCTGCTGTTCCTCCTCAAGTACCCCTCAAATGGACTCACTTAAAGGGATAGCGGAGGTAATTTCTCAGGATTGTGTACATAAAGGAATATAATGGTGTCTGGTAGTTGCAATCCAGGTGTTCCAGTTTAATCTCCAAGGATACTGTATTCCAAATACAGTTATTTTTATTCTGGAACAGTTACTGTGCTACATGATTAATCTTTGTATGTTTTTGGCCAAAATTGCTGTTCTGTGTCAGTGTAGAGAAAATTAAAGGAAACGAAAGAACCTTTCAGATAATATACTTTCTCAAACAATGTGGTCTGACAGACCAAAATCTAGAAAAGATAACTCCAGGCAGTGCTTCTACAATTCCAGTAGCTAACAGTTTTTAAATTGTTATTTATTTCCCCCCTGCCCCTCCTCTAAAGCCCCTGTTTACCCAAATGATTTCCATGTGAATTTTCTTTTGAGGTACTGGGATCCTGGTCCAAGAGCTGATCCTGTGGATGATTTACGTTATATCTGGGGAGGCTTTGCATATCTCCAAGACATGATTGAGCATGGGATTATAAAGACCCAGACCAATGTTGAAGTGCCATTAGGAATTTATCTGCAGCAAATGCCATATCCATGTTTTGTGGATGATGTGTGAGTAAAAGCAGTTTATCTTAATTCTGACGAATACTTGGATTGATGAGTGCTTTAAGACTCTCAAACACCAGTTCTAACCCTAGTCCTAAGGTATATATGCAAGAGCAATAGCTGAGATGTAACTGAATGGATTTGTTCTTTTCCTTATCCTGCCATAACCCAGATTCCAGAAACTGCCTTTGCCAAGACTCTTCCCCTAATCCTAATCCTGGCCTTTGTTGCATTCAGGTAACCAGTGTCCAGACCCAAAATGAACACAAAACACTGCCCCCTTAAAAGCAGCAGTGTTCTTCCAATTTCTGCATACCACACAAAATAGAAAATATAAGCTGGAGGGTTTTTTTGGCCTTACTTTTCCGGGCAGTAATAACAACCTAACCTAAACCTTCACATTGATTACAGTTGAGAATCTGTTGTCAACAGGGCACCTCAACTATAACTCTTTGGTCCCTAATAATGTCAGCCTTGGAACTACAGCTGTGATTACACAGGACCCAGCAAAAATGTGGTCTTTTAAAAAGTTTTTATCTAACTAGAACTAAGCCTCATGCTATAGCACATGGCCAGTGCCTGTAGCAAAAGTGAACACAGAGCATTGACCCATATTAGAACAAACACTGCATCCTTCAGTTAACTGTGCAGAATCCATTGAAGTGTAGTGAATGTCTTTCCTCTAATTACATCTCTAAAACCCATATTTCTTTATATCCAGAGAATAATTTCCTAAAGAAATATTGAATAGAAAATGCTTGTCCCAGTGCAATTGGTACCTTTCTTGCTATTTCTTTAAGTCCTGAAGAATCCAACAACCCAGTCTCTTCAACTGTATTACCAAACTCTAACCCTAGACTTAATCATATCTAGATATACCAATACCCACAGCTGTAGTTTTTGGTCCTTGGAGATGCCTACAGGCCTTGCAGAACCCCAAGACAATTTAGGCTCTTGAAACTCTTTCTTTCCAAAATCCTAACCATATGCTTAGAAAGGCTTCCATTTATAACTGTGTGAATAGTATCTGCAATCAAACTGCATATACCGACCGCAGTTTGGTGTCTGTTAACAGCAGCCCTTTTCCTCCCATTGTGTATGCTAGTTTTCAACAATAACCTGATATTCTCTAACCATCTTCTCCCTAATTGCTGCCTATGTCTTTTATGAAGATTGACTGGTTTTTGTTTTGAATCTCATATGAATCTAGCAAAAGATTCCAGGACTGTGGCTGCAGTTCATTATTGCAGGCACCAGGAGTTTCTTTCCCTGGTGAAGGGCAGAATAAAGAAGCTACAGGAGAGAGAGGTGGTTTTTCGCTCTGTAACAAAATAAGAAAGAGACCGTGCTCCTGGGTGTGGAGATTTCACAGCTACACGGAGGCAGGGTGACTGTGGACCCCCATTAGCACTGCCTGAACCAGCATGTGTGCTCCGGGTTTTATGAAGTGGTGCCTCTTCCCTGGTCACAGTGTGCCTGTTCCAATGCTGCAATCTGTGCTACTGCAACTGTATTGGTGTACATTTCACTCAGGAAAAAAAAAAAAAAAAAAAGGTGCTATAGAAGTCCTTTCATGGTGCTGTCAGTGTGCTCTGTGCAGGTAAATGCTAGTACTTCAGATAATGGCAGATTGCAGATATACATAATTTGACCTGTCATTCCCATCAGTCATTAACTGTTAGCCTGAGAAAATGTCACCCTGGAAAGCCTGCTGTTTGTTTCCTCCCCACTGAAAATACTGTGGAGGCAGAAACCTTACCTGTGCAAAAGTTCTCTGAAGCCTGCAGCAGCCACACACAGTTCAGGGCTGATCTCCAAACCCAGTGATGGCCTCTGCAGAGAGCTTGCTTTAGTGAAGCAAGCACATCCTCATGTATGTTGTGCTCTGTGTGGCTTAGTGCTGGGTTACATGTGTCCACCAACAGGCAAAACCCAGGGTACCCCAGGCCATTCCACAAAAGCATGGCTTTGTTTCAGCAGGCCAGATTTCTCTTCGGGAATTTTTGGTGGAAAAGTAAAGATTTTCCATTTGTTTTGACAATGGTGTAGCTATGAGAGCATATGGCAAAAACGTGGTTCTGTAGGGCTCAGATTTAGGAAGCTGAAGGTTTTTTTGCTCCTTTTTGTTTTTAGCAGCTCTAAGATTTTGGCCTTGAAAGAATCAAGTCCATTTGGTTTTCAGGGTAATTTCTTTGAAAAGTTGCAATCCCAAATTCACAGAAAACGTTTTCAGCTTTTTCACCCCGACATCTCTTGCTCACCATGATAACACACTTCAGGCAGTGCTTCAGCAAGGATCATCTGCCTGGGCTGAGCAGCCATAGAGTCTGGGGAGAGGGATGGAGAAAGGAAGCACTGCCTCCATCACAGTACATGAAGGGCCACCCACAGCAGCCTGTCCCAGCACTGTTGTTTTGGAAGCGGTACTATATAGGATGGTCCCAACACATTCCTGAGTCATGGTTTGTATGAATTTCAGCAGCCTTGCTGGCAGCATCTGATGCTTTTAATGCTTAATTTGTTTAATTCTTTTGACAGTGAATCTTGGGAGCATAAAAAGACAGTGACACTCCCAAATTGTTGATATTAGCATATGTCTTAAAATATTCATTGTACATCATAGTAAAAGCATTATGGCAATTCACAGTGAAGAGAGATGTATTTTCATGAGCCACCACATCTTTTGTAGCCTTCAGTAACCCTTAGAACCTCTTTGTAAAACAGAAATAACATTTATCTGTCTCATGGGAGTGCAGCAACCGTTAGTTCATTAATATTTAGGTTGCTTCTGAAGTTCACTAGCAAGGTGTTATTGATGTTTAGACTGAGAAAGTCTTATGTTTAATAAATACATTCTTCCCTACTCCTTTTCCTCTTTGTTCTTGCTTTTCATCTCAATATTTCTCTTTTTTTACCTAAATTTAATTAATTTCTCTCTTCTTGCTTTGGTAGCTTCATGATCACCTTAAACCGTGCCTTTCCCATCTTCATGGTATTGGCTTGGATATATTCAGTTTCCATGACTGTGAAGAGTATAGTGCTGGAGAAGGAAATGCATCTGAAAGAGGCTATGAAGAACAGGGGTGTAACTAATGGGGTGATCTGGTGCGCTTGGTTCCTAGACAGCTTCGTCATGATGGCTGTGAGCACGTTCCTCCTCACAGCACTGATTATGGTAAGAATTGCCACTCTCAAACTCACTGTTGTGTTTGCACTGCTGGTACCAGTTTGCTGTTGATAAAGAATAGTAGCCATTCATAGGGAGGTGGGAATGGCTGGTGGCCTGTTCTGATCACAGCATGTAGCAGGTGCGTTCTTCTAAGCAGAAGCATCAGCACTTGACAGAGGCAGAAAGTATAAACTCACTAGTAAGATTTATTGTGAAAGCCCCCACAGAACAATGCATCAAGCTGATTACTCTGTATCTTGTATTTCCTGGAGACAGACACAGATCTCCCAATAAACAATAATTGTTGCTTTAAATAGAAGGGATTATAAGATAAAGAATTTTAATCTAGAAACTCACCATATGTGATTCATTTTTAATATTCAGTGCTTTCCTGCTTAGAAATTATGCCACTATTTCAATGGAAAAGACTGCAAGGACAGAACTTTCAGGACAGTCTGAAAATAAACAAGCTTTTGCTTCTGTGACTCAAAATAATTTTTGTAACTTTTCAGGGCAGTCTGGATGTTGTCTCTAAGGACTACCTCTTCTCTGTGTTACCTAAGAGCCAAGCTCCTCCTAGCTTAGCTGCTATATTTAGTTATATAAATCCATAGTATTTTGATAAGGAAGAATGCCCTTGCATCTTTTCTGATGTGGGGAACTGGTATTGATACAAATGCACAGTTGGGGTTCAATCTGTTCTATCTTATCAACCTGCCCTGATGAGTTGTTCTGCTTCCTTGTGGTTCCATTACAGGTGGATAAGAGAAAGCTTGCTTTATTTGCTACACTGGCTTAATGAAAAATCAGGAGGTAGTTAATACCAAAGAGGAATGTGTTTATACCTATAATTTGCTTCCTTTCGTGGATTTCACTATGCCAGTGTGACACACCTTTGTAAATACATTCTTATGAGAGATTGTATCACTGTTGATAAAGAAATAGGTCTCAGTCAGATGTTGCAACAATGTTGAGACCTATTTATAGCCTTATAGACCTATTTGAGCCTTATATAAGGCTCAGAGCAAAGTTGAGCCTAATAAATAGGTCTCAGTATTGTTTTTTAGGAGTAAATAGATAATCAGCACAGTCTGTGCTCTTCTTGAGAGGGAGTGTTTAATCTACAAAAGCTCTAAGGAAGAAAGGTCAATAAAAGTTCACCCAGTAGGCTAGTTAGTACACAAGGATCTCTGAGAAACTGCACGTGGATTCCTCAGCTGTGATACCCTTATGGAGTTTGAATATCAATTAGGGACAGAAGCTTTATAATTTTCCTGTTTTTGTTGTTGTTGTTTGTTTGAAGATGCGTTGCGTTTTGTCAGGCTTCCTTACATTGTCTTTTCTGCACATTGAGCAAGTGGACTGTGGAGAAGATGAGATCAATGAAAATTTACTGTGATAGTTCAAATAGTTTTATTTAAAATGTATGAATTTCCAAGCAGGCACATCTTGCTTAGAATAATTTGCTTATTAAGACAGGGACAGAATGTCCATTTTCAATCAGTTATGATCTCAATTCAGTCATCAAATCTGAATATGAACCCCACAGTGTATTGTACTAACATAAAGACACAATCCAGGAGCAGGGATAAAGTTAGATGAAGGATTTGTTATTGTGATGACCTCAGGTGTTGAAACGTTACTGCCTGGGAGAGCTGGAAGTCATATTAGGTAAGAAAGACTGGCTTATTGCTTATTACTTACTACAGGTTACATGTCAATGGCAATTCTGACCTTTTCTGCTAGTTCAGAAATTGGTAATACTTCTAAATTTTTTCTGGTTTCCTTTTGCTTACAGTGTGGACAAGTACTACATTACAGCAGTCCACTTCTCTTCTTTCTATTCCTACTGACATTCACCACAGCCACTATAATGCAGTGTTTCTTGTTCAGCACCTTCTTCTCCAAAGCAAATCTGGCAGCTGCCTGCAGTGGAGTCATCTACTTCACCTTGTACCTGCCTCACATTGTCTGCTTTGTCTGGCAAGACCGCATGACTGTTAATCTGAAGATCCTAGCAGTAAGCCTTTCACTGATTATATGGCTTATTTGGGTTCGAATTTTAGCTGCCCTTCTCACTATTCATATGTGAGTAAGAAAACATTGTGGACATTTTCCTCTCTGCTTTTTTTGATTCAGAGAGGGACACCTCTGAATCTCTCTCAAATAATGAGGGATTGCAAGTGAGTAAGCCTTTAGCAAGCCTACTGACCAAGAGATACTTTCATGGCTTTTAGAAAATTTAGTAAAATTTATTTTACTTTTTCAATGCTAGGAAATTAGCATAATGTTCAAAAAATTTTGAACACTTCCTTATAAGTCAAAGCAAATTTAACTTCTGGTATGTTTAGTAAATACAAAGGCAATTCACAAAATGGGGACAGTTATATTTCTCATGTGCTATAACCTGGTTAACAGGGTAATATCGAAGGATGGTAAGACCTCAGGTTCACATTCCTTCTTCAGCTAAATGCAGAGTTAGGATTTGAACCCAAGTGCCAAAACTCTGAAATATCTTCCACCTAAGAAGCTGCAGACATTCTCCATGCGGTGCTTCCTTGTTGGTTCTCTTTCATAATAGGTAAGATACTTAACAATTCAGTGGAGCTGGAAACTTCTTGCTGCTTTTTGAAATGGAACTGTGAACTTACAAAATTATTCAGACTGATTTTTCTGTTGCCCCATGAATCAGGAAGGGAAGCAGGTGGTTGAATCCAGTCTCCCCACCTTTGCTGAGCATTCTAACAACCTAGGTAAAAGAGAAATACTGTCTTCTGCTCTTGTACTAGGAAATATAATGAAAAAGGAAAAAGAAAACATAACTATTTAAAAGCTATAACTAAGTATAAATCTGGCTCTGAATCAGCTTTCTTAACTGATGTACTATACAGATGTAGTATATACCAGCTTTAGTTCTACCGATTAAGGTGATAAAGTGCAAAACTTGATCCTGTCATTAAGTCAGGAAATGAGTTGGCCTCTAACAGGTTCTGATTTGGGAAGAAATATTGAGATTGGCACACAGTCTAAGCATAAAGACAACTCTCTTCTCACCCTAAAGTGAAGGAGGAGGCATTCATGTAAGAAAGGATATTTGCTAACCAGAAGCCATGAATATTTTTCTCTGTTCCTGATACATTTGGTCTTATATTTGTTGTTCAAAGCTTAGTCCTTTGCTGAAACCAGGACATTAGCACACTATGATAATGCCTCACTGAGAGTTGCTGTTGGGCTCCCTCTTGTCCCCTCATTTTCCTGAGGTCTGACATTCCTGGCTGAACTACATATCCTGTGAAACAGCACTGTATAACTTCTTGCTCTGTTTTTGCAATGCAACATTGAAGAGGTTGTTTGGATACTATACTGGTTTATTAGTTTATTGTGTAAGGACTAGGTAGCAGACAACACCAGGGGAGGGGATGGTTGTGGTTTCCCTTATCCTGAGCATCTGGTGTACTTTCTGTCTCGTTACTCATAGTGGCCCTGCCCTGTACACTCAGGAAATATTTTGTTTCTCCAAGGTGGGCAAAGGTGTTCACTGCAAACTTCTAGATGCATCTATAGTATTTTCTGAACAGAGACATTAATGGAAAAAAAAAAGACTGAGCTGTGAATGTTGCCTAGTAGCTAAACAATGTACAGCTAAGGTTGCATTTGGTCTATTATGGCTAAATAGTGCTTAAAATTGCCACCATTCAGAGGACTAAACATCCCAGTCCGATATAGAAATGAAACCACTTCTCCCTGATCATTTGTTAGTCATTATCAAGTTTTGAAGTCCAGTCCCTAAAGATCATGGTTTTTTGTGTTTGCTTTACAACATGTCCCTCTGAGTTGAATGTAATTTTTCCTTCATTCCAGAGTTTGCTTTCTCAAGTAGCTTTTGGCTTCGGTACAGAATACTTGTCACGCTATGAAGAGCAAGGTCTTGGCCTACAGTGGGGTAACATCAGAACTAGTCCCTTGGAAGGAGATGAATACAGTTTTATTTTTTCCATTAAAATGATGCTTTTTGATGCTTTTCTCTATGGAATACTTTCTTGGTATCTTGATAATGTTTTTCCAGGTATGTCAAGATCTTGTTCATAGAAGGTAGTGGTAGTTGATGTAAACTGTGTTAGTCTAATCAGTCTTTGAATATTTCTTTGTCAGAAAAAGGGTATTTGACATTGCAGACCATGAGTCTTATCCAGTATAACCATTGTTTTTTAAGGGCTTCCAGTTTTCTCTCTTTCTTTTTTCTTTCTCCTATTTCAGTCCTCAAAAAAAATGTAGAAAAGGAGGAGAGAGTAAGAAGGAGGATGCAATTTCTGATCCTGTTTTAAGATCTAAAATAGAAAATAAATCTACAAAAATATCATCTGTTAAAAGCCAATTTGTGTACATATTTTTCTTTTGAGAAATTTCAACCATTTCTAGTAAGAATTTTTTAAATTTTCGAAAATGTAGAAATAAGAGTTCTAATTCACATATATACCATGGCTGCATTATTAGACTGACTGTTTCTTAAAGGATGGTACTATTTCCTGAGACATATACTCTGTCCTAGGCAGTTTTGAAAGTTCCTGTATGGATTTACTTTATTTCTAAATGGGAATCCTGGTTCCAGTGCAAGTTCACAAAAGGATTTTCTTTGTTATTAATTACAAAGTTTGGGAACAACCTTTGTGAGAAAATGGTTTGTCCTTGTAGCTCAAATGGTTATCTTGCTGCTTACTGAATGTTGTTGCAATATAATAAATGCAGACTCTTATGCTGTACAAGCAAGTAAGCTTTCTTTTAATTAATTACTCCCACATGTGAACTGCAGTTCCAGGATGTGTTTCTTGGCAGATAGCTATCTTTTTTTTTTTTTTTTTTTTTCTTGAGTGGTTACTCAGAATTTGAGATCTTGCAGATTTTCTAGGTACAAAGGAAAATTAACAATGGATAAGGTAAGATGGTGTTTGTCTGCATGCATCACTTATGATAGTTAATCCAAATCAAGAAAAGATAAGGGGTTGTTGAATGGCTTTAGATGTGTCTGAGGAATATTTTGCTTCAAAATTCAAATATGATCTTAAGTCTGCTTTGTTTGTGTCCTTTCCAAAGTGACATATACTACACCCAATTAATGCCTTTTCAGTTTTTAAGAAATGTATCCTCATAAAGGAGTTTAACACAATTTTAATACACTTATTTTCAAAGCTGATTTGCAGTAACTTCTCTAAAAGTTCCTCTTTGGAGAAGCCCATGTTGCGACTCTGTTTATTTAAAAAAGAATGAACAATGTACTATTTCCATGAACACAGCGGGAGTTAAACAACAGGAGTTTCATTCTTCATAGATACAAGTTGTTTTTTTTCAGCCAGTACTTTACACAAAAGCAACACCTCTCAGGGCTTCTATTAATTTGCTTCAGTTCCTCCCAGTATTTGCTCTGAGAGGCTCCTTGGCTTTCTGCTGCTCTGTTTCTGTGGAATTTCTCACAGCATTTCTCTGTCACACAAATGCAAACCCGCCAAATCAGTGCTGTAGTATTTGAGTTTACCATAGGAGTTTCCTGGATAATCCTTCAAACCATATGATTCAGCTCCAGTGCAAGTTTTCTCTGCAGCCAGCTACTCGTTGTCGATACTGGTCCTTTGGCTATTTGAGCATTCTTCTCCCTAATGGAGTTCACTTGGGTTTTGTATTCATACTGAATGAGAAGCAGTTGTTTTAGTCACTAGCTTCAAAGGGGTATAATCCAGTCCATAACAAGTGCAAGGTGAACAACCTATGGATGCAGACAGAGCTTTTGTGTATATTAATTGGGAGTACAAGTGGTTGCCTGACATACAGGGTATTTTTGGTAAGTCAGAAATAAGCAGACACTTTCATAAACAGTGGTTTTCAATACAGAAAAACTGACCATCGTTCAGTGAGCATCACAAATTCCCTTTGCTCATTTTGAATAAGTAGGACAAGGCCAGTAACACCTGGGTTCACGAGGATGCCAGGTTTAAACATAGCTGCTCAAATCCCTGCATTCTATAAATCAATATGATCCAGGAAAGTGGTGTTGAATTGCACTAGCTCTGGTCTGGTCTGACAACTGATGATGTCCTCTTTTCAAAACAGAATTAGCCCGTGACCAAAAAAGCTCATTTCTACTTAAGAAAAGCATTATTCTTTTGACAATTTTTCTGCAAGGCTGTGTGCTGAAATAACAGCCAGAGTCTCTTTTCTCATTGCCAGTTGTGAATTCAGGCCCAGAGTAATAAGTTCAAATATAACGAGCTTTTCATTCCTGTCAACCCTCAAGTGTTAAGTTGGCCTTAAAAGAAAATCCCTGAGTGAGGCTGGGATCCCAACTTAAGCAATCAGGATGTTCCTTGGCAGCTGCTGCCTGGTTGGTAAGGATTCAGACTGTCCCCAGGTAGGGAGTAGCTTCATTCTGTAATTAAAACACATTCTACTTAAGAAAAGGTAAGGCCAATCAGGTCACGTATTTTCTGAATATTATACTCCTGTCCAAAAGGAAAAAAAAAAATCTGCAAACAAAATTTGTTCTGTCAGGTACTTGGTGGATGGTTTGACCTTCTGATATGCAACACTAGGACTGCAAGTTTTTATAACTGTAGCTCAGACTTTGCCTATATGAATTTGTGCCCACTGAGGAATGTGTTTATTAAGTGCACTTTACGTACTTATTTTTGTTTTAGGGGACTATGGGCTACCACAGCCTTGGTATTTCCCTGTGCAGGAATCTTATTGGCTTGGCTCTAGAAACCTAAAAGCTGAGAAAACACCAACTGCTGATGGTGAGTTTTTTTAAAACTTTGGTGTTTAGAAACAACTTCAAAACCACTGATCCTCTCAGAGGTGAGTGCATAACTTTTCCATTACCTGAGATGCTGCAAAAATTAGAGACAGCCATACACTGGAATCTTGGCAGGTGCCTTTAAACTTGGAGTGGCCTGCTATTATTAGAGTTATTAGAGATGAGTCACTGTTCCATCTGAGAGCCTTTAAAGCATGGGCTAACAAACAGCATCAAACCCTGACTCTCTGACACCTTCTGAGACATTTAAGGAGTTCTTGTTGCCCAACACAACATTTGTGAAATGAGTCAAAATGAAACATAATGTTGATCTTGTTTACACTGAGGCTCCCCCATCATTCTAAACCTGTTTCTTTTCTATCTAGTTTGACATTAATTTAAGTCTGTTTACTTTGGGTTTGCAAGCAAGATCAAAATTGATGCCACCCTTGGACCAACTTGAATGAGTGCAAATCCTGCATTTGCAGATTTTTTTTGCTGTGCACTGATACTGGAGTAGTCAAGAACAAGATGTGGGTGATTGTATTTAAGCAGGAATTAATGCAGAATGAGTATTAATGTCTGGAATAGAGGCTGCTGAAGGTAATGTTTTGAAATGTCTTAAATTTACGAGGTAACAGTGAAACTAATCAAAATAATAGATGATGAAATAATTTCTTCAGTCTTCTAATTACTATCCTTAAACTTCATCAACTCAGACAGATTCAGGCAATCTCATTGTGAGGTGATACCTATAAACCAGAACAAATTTAATCCTTTCTGTGAACATGCTGATAAGACATCCACTGCTCACATGTTTTGATCAGAAAAGAAGAGGTTATAACATTGGTTTTTTTGAAGAGGCTTCGCCTTCTGGTGCATTCTGAGGGAATGAACATGCTTTCCTTTAGATTTGCTGTGAGGGTATTCAGAATAGTAGAGGCTTGTCTAGATATTATCAAGTCTGTTACCTGCTTCAGCTTTGCAAATGCTGCCCACCAGATTAGAATTTGACTGTACAGAAAGAAGGAAGAAAGAGCCAGAGGAGGGCTTGGAGCATGTTTATAGATCAATGGAAAATTTCCAAAGACCCAGATGTCAGCCATTATGTCTCATTGACTTTCTGTGGAATTTGGGCATATCCTGCACCAGAGCTCCTTTGAATACCTCAAATTTGGAGCACAGTTACAGGATTTTCTGTTTATTTAGTTTAAGCCTAAATTTAGTAGAAATTAAATCCATTTTCTGGTTATCTTAATGCCTCATAAGTTCTGTGTGTTCTTGAATATATTTCCAATAACAGACAAACTCATGATTTTTTAGTACCCAAACTCAAGGTTGCGAGAAGTCTCGAAAGCCCCAAAATATTTAGTTGCTCAGGTAGATCAGCAACAGAAAAGTTTATGGCTACTACTTTATTACCAAGTTTTCTATTTTATGAGTTCTTGATAGCATTTTTTAGATTACTTATGTAAAATATTTTGCTTAAGTGAAGTCTAGAGTTTATTTTGTAGGTGAGATTACATCAGATAACTGAGTTTATCTAACAGTTCACTGTTGAGAAAAAAAATGGGGCAATATTGCAGTCCCTTCCACAACTGTCATCCCAGTTTTGCTGATGCTTATCAGTCTCTGGTAAGATCAAGAGGTAGATCCTTCTGGAAGCCATTCCCAAGAAAATGAAGGACAAGGTGACAGGAAATAATGAACATGGTTTTACCAAGAGCAAATCTTGCCCAACCAGTCTGATTTTCTTCTGTGATGACTGGATCAGTGGACAGATGGAGAGCAGTGGATGCCATTTAACTTGACTTTAGCAAGGGCTTTGGCATGGATTCACATAGTATTCTGATAGCCCAAATGATGAGATAAAGGCTGCTTGAGTGGACGCTGAAGCATGTAGAAAATTGATTGAACTGTTGGCCCCAAAGGATTGTGTTCAGCACTACAAAGTGTAACTGGGGACCAGTTATTAGTGGCAGATGTCTGCCAGGGACTGACACTGGACATAATACTGTTTAATGATTTATTAACAGCCCGAGTGATAGGATAGGAGCACCATGAGCAAGTTTGTGGAAGACACCAATTTAGAGGGAAGAGTGGAGTGCAGGGCAGCTCTTCAGAGGGACCTCAACAGGCTGGAGAAGTGGCTTTATAGGAACCTCATGGAGTTCAACAAAAGTAAATGCATAATACTGTTTCTGGGGTGGAATACAGACTGGTCTCCTGGCAGGCAGCTTTGTAGAAAAGGTCTGGTTGATAACATGTGGAACATGAGCCATCAAGTGTGCCTGTGTAGCCAAGAAGACTGGATGCATTCTGAACTTCATTAGCAAGAGTATAGCCATCTGTTCAGAGGAATTGATTCTTCCTTTCTAGTCAGTACTTGTGAGACTGCATCTGGAGTACTGTGTTGTCTAGTTTGGGGATCCTTATTGAAAGGAAGATGTAGAGTTACTGAAGGGAGCTCAGGAAGGAGCCACCAAGTTGATTAGCATCTGGAACATATAACAGACGAGGAGATGCTGAGAGAGCTGGATCTGCTCAGCCTTAAGAGAGAAAGCTAAGAGATAGCTAGACTTCTCAGGTATGCCTAGTGGAAGCATGAGAGGCAATCTGGAAAACAAGAATTCTGATTCAATATAAGAAGAAAATTATTTACGGTGAAAGTAGTTAGAACACTGGAACAGGTTGCTCAGAAAGGTTGTGAAATCTTCATTTTTGGAGATAGTCACTGTGATCTGAATTGTCTATTTTTTGAGGATTGAACTGGAAATCTTTGGAAGTCCCCCCTGATCTAAATTATTCCATGATTAGCTCAGCTAGCCTCAGTGTCCTCTCTCCTATGAAACATTGCCTTGGGTTTTCTCAAGCAGGGACATTTGGAAAGGTCATCTCTGATTAATTCCTTTGTAGGAGGCAAGTGATTCTTACCTCTTTGAAGAACTAAGACTCTTCAGGGCCTCAGCTTACATGAACAACTGTAGAACTTTTCTCAACTTGTATCTTTCCTTCAAGGGTAATACTAAATATTGTCTTAATTTATTGTAACTGGAAAACGTTTTGGGAAGAAAACTGGATGAGAAAATGTCTGATAATGTAAATGCACAGCTGAAAATGAAGCAAAACTAATAAATTATCTTGGTACTTTTAAAATTTACTTCTATCAGTGCACTTTTGTGTCCCCCCACTTTGCCATTTTGGGTGATGTGGTGAGCTTGTTTATGTTGCTATTTGTGCACCGGGTAATTTTATAGTTTTACAGGCTAAGCTAAAACCTCTTGTAGCAGAGTTATGGTGAAATTTCACAACAAAATTAAGTTCTAGACCATCTGATAAATTACAGTTGTGCTAGTTGCACTCTAGGCTGCCAGCTTGAATCTGTGTTATGTAAACAGTTCTTTCAGGGGCTCACTCTTCTTACATCACTGTTTCCTGCTTCAAGCCTGTCCCCATTAGTGATTTTATGTGACTGTTTTCCTTTGTGGCAGCAAGGTCTAAGACCAAATTGGAAAGCCGGAAATTCTTGTACGAGAGTTAACACCGACTCATTCACTCTGGCCTGGAGCTAGTCTCTTAATCTAAGTAGCAGTTTAGCAGTTTGCTTTTCATTTAACCTTTTCATTTTGTTTTTCTTTCACTCACTCCCTGGAAGTCTGGGAAGTGTTTGTATGGCCTTTCTCTTCATGTGGTGAAGAATATGGTCTAGAGCTGCATGGCCAAAATATAAAGCATGTATTTAATATTAGTCAGGATCTTCTACTCTGAGTCTATAATTGCAAAATTGTCAGTTGTCTTCCTTAAATATCTGTTCCTGACACTGAGAAGCAGATTTTAAGCTAGATGGCTCTGAGTGGTGCATTCCTACCCTGAGTAAAGCACTGGTGATTGATGCTCTTGAAGAGCTCAAGGCTTAGGACTACCCCCTTTTCCTCAAAGTACCTCTAGAGATACGGGGAAATTAAATTTTGGTTAATTCAATGTTGGTTACTTTTGGTTTATATAGAAAAAAGTCCCGAGTCAGAAAGCTGTGTGGATCAGAATGCCATCGAAGAGGAAAAAAATGAAAGCAGAACAAAGAAATCTGAAGAACCTGAAAAGCCAGAAGAAAAGAATGACAACCTGGGGGAGAAGGATGGTAAAAACAAACAATGCAAACACAAACGAGAAAAAGAACCTGGCGAGCAGGGGAAGCCTAAGACAGATGTCCAGGACAAAGATGAAATTAATAGTAAGGAGAGAGAGCAACCTGATTACTTCTGAGATACTATACTCATTGTACTTCATAAGAAACTAGATGTAGGAATGATTGGAGTCAAAATACAAGAGCCCAGTAAGCTATAGAGGATAGCATACAACTGCCAGAGCTAAGCCCAGAGAACCACTGACTCTCCCAGTTACCCTCTTACTGATTTCTCTACATTCACAAACCCTTAGAATATTTTAGCCACCATGCATAAGAGGGCTGCCTTCCAGAAGATCTCTGTGTCTTGTTTTTTTATTGTGCAGATGCAGGCTGTTTCTATAGCAAGTTAGTGTTCATGCTAAGGGAAGCTTGAGACACACATTGACCTCTTAGAATTAAACAGAGCCATGACTTCAATAAAAATACTTATGCTGAGAGAGGAATGTTCCTAGCCCCCCCCCCTTTTTTTTTTCTTTTGTGCGTCTTCAAACAGGAGAAGCAGAGATTTATCTGAAGTGGTCTGTGTGTCTGTCTGCAGCCTTTTCTGATGCTGACATTAGCCACCACCTAAGAATTCCTCAATGACCTGCCTTGTTTTCAAGTCCCAATGTCTTCTTTTGTGGGGAGCCAGAGGCATTTTCTGTATGTGATGCTCAGAGGAATGCATGTGGATTCTGTAGGAAAAGTAACTGTTACAGACAGCTCTGGGCCCACTCTGACTCTCTTGAAAAGCTAGAGATAAAAGTGGGGTCATGGGAGCTCCTCACGTAGGCACTGAAAACATGCATTCAGGGTGAATGGAAACAGGACAGGACTTCAAAAGAAAAAAGACAGTCAGAGGGCAAAGGTTATTTCAGACAATCTTCTCCTAGTACTGCCTTATCTTTGTGGTGCTGTACTCATCAGCTCCCAGGTTCCATCTGCTCCACGGCCACAGGGAAGGGCTTTGCCTGTCACTGCATGAAAAAGCCTGCCTTGCCTTTCAGCCAGCCACACAGGAACTGGGACACATGTGGAGAAGCCAAGAGCAGACCTGATAGGGTTCAAGGACACAGTTTCCAAAATGGCTTCATGCAAGAGTTAGTGCTTCATGTAAGAGTAATGAGATGGGAAATGGAGAGTAGTTCTAGTGGCTTAACTCTAGTGCAGTCCAATACTAGCATGGGCTAACAGAGCAGGGCAGACATGCTTTTAATCTGTCCTAATTGTTTGATAGGTTTTAGGCAGAGCTTTCACCAAAGCCCCATCCACATCCCCCACAAATGCTGCCGCCTCTGAAGAAAGACCTAAATGGGCCAATATTGCACTGAGGAAATAGGATCAGAATGGAGAAATATGAATCACAAAAAAAGGGAGCTCAGCCTCCACCAGTGTCCTTCAGGTGATGCAAAGCAGATACTGAGGGGAGATCATCAGTGAGTTTGCCTCAGAACTTGTCAGTGAGTCTTGAAAACAAATACGAATTGAGCTCATGATACATATAAAACCAAGGATCATACCTCAATTGCCAATATATGCAGAACACCCTAGCCAGACTCCATGGGAATGTTTGTAAATACAGGGATGTTTGTATTTGGCCCAGTAAGGTAAAAGAAAACCTAGATTCCCTCGCAAAGCAAAAGAAAAGTTTGTCATATAATTTTATTTAAAATAAATCCACCCATTCTAGATGAATTATTTCAGCTGCTCTGTAGTATATACAGCTTTCTCATGTACAGTGTATTTGGGATTTTCTCCTGAGTGTTGTTTATAATGACAGTCATAGAGCCACTGATGGAGGTGGGGCTGGTTTCACCCAGATGGCATTGGCTGCTCTCCATGCAGGCCTGCTGGGTACTGAACAATTTAAGTAAACTGCAATTGCAAAACAAGCCTCCCTACAAAGCCTTAAGCATTCTGTGTAAACAAAAGTGGACAGGGTCTTTAGTTTAAATCTCTCTCCTCCCATAATTCACATTGCCCAAGGGCTTAATTTACTTCAAAGGAAGTTTGTTTTGTCTAGAAGCTGATGCAATAAAACATCCTGATGGTGGTATTTACAATAATGCATTTTTAATCCTGAGAGAAAGCCATCCTATGTAGTGCTCATGTTAGGTACTGCCTAAATCCTGAGCTGGCCTCGGCAAGGGGGTAAATTCACCTACTAGGATTAAAGGCAAATGTTGGCATTTTTTAAAGCATCATGGTAAAAGAATGCACAGCTGGGCAGATTATTTGAGTGACAGATTTCAGCCTGGCTAGAAAGACAACCTGCTGCTTGTTTAATGTAATCTCTCAGCCTATCTAAGTATCTACAGACAACCACCACAAATAATCTTCCTGCTACACAATGGAAACAGAAAGTGTGTTCAGCTTAACCTGAGTTACCTCTCCACAGACCATTACAATTCTGGGCTCCACTTCTCCTGCCATTGATATGTGGGTGAATCTAAATAAATTGCATTGCAGTTAGAAATCTTGCCTCAGTTTGGTACTGGTGTGACTGGAGAATCTGGCCCTGGCACATGATGCTGTATTTTACTGGGTATGTGCTGTTGCTTCTGCACTTATTGATGTGTCATCATCAGAACTGGGATTAAAACATCTGGTTTTATTCTTTCTTTCATTCTTGATTTATTGCTTCCAAGTAAATACCTTCTTTGAGCCTGAGCCAACAGGATTGATTCCAGGAGTATGCATTCAGAACCTGGTGAAGATTTTTGCAAACAGGCCCAAGCCAGCAATAGATGGGATGAATATTACTTTTTATGAGGGCCAGATCACAGCCTTCCTTGGTCACAATGGAGCAGGAAAGACAACCACCATGTAAGTCTTTATTTCAGAAGAAGCAAATCCAGGGCAGTGCTCTATTGCTCTGTCCTGAGGAGCAATCTTCTCTTTTCATTCTTCCCTTCTCTCCACCACCCTTGCAGATAGCTTGATGCACAACATCAAGCTTTTTCCAGACAGGGAAATGCTGCCCCTAGGCAAAGACAAGATATCCTGGATTGGCTAAAGCCCTGGGAGGGAGACAATGCCTGACACAACAAGAGAAAGTCTAGAGGGTAGGAAGCAATTTTCTTCCCCAGAATTCGTTTCCCATGGACAAACTCCCAAAAGGTGAAGAGGGAGAAGGATCTTCTGGCTGAAAGAGCTGAAGATTTGAAAGCTACCACACTCCTTGTGGTTTTGGTTTCTCTGTCTAACTGGTCAGTCACATTTTTTGGTCTGTGTGTGAAGGAATATAAAATGTAGGCCCTCTTTAGACAAAATGATTACATATATGCAAGATCCATGTCCAGATTAAAGTGTTCCTCTAGTCCTAAAACCCTAGCATCTCAGGAAGATGGACTTTAGGAGTGTTTAATTTTCTTCATATAGAACTTCTTTTGGCAAAATAGGATTAATTGGTGAAGAAAACATTTCGTGAGTCTGTGACAAGTTCACTGAATGTTGAAAGAACTGAAGTATTTCATCATGATGTTTCCCAGCAGAACACTTCAGGTTTTTTTAATTTCAAAAGTATTTTATTTCAAATGCACTTTAAATTGCCTTTTAATTTTTTAATTGTTCCGCAAGAAACTTGTTTGACCCAAAATAAAAGCGTTCTAATCTGCTGAAAAGTTTTGTAAATTTGTTTTTCTATTCTCATGATAAAAACAAAGGTTTCTATTGCTTTGAAATTTTCAGAACTGAAAAATACATTATTCAACCAAATCTAGTAACAAGTTCCACCCATTTGCAACATAATATTTGGCCCTTTTCCATTTTACAGAAAATAAAGGCACAGGGCATGAGCCAGCATGGCTGGAGGCTTCAAAACATTATTCTCTATGTTGGCTGTAGTGAGTTTCATTGTAGACCCATTTGTACATAGGAGTGATGTATCATGCTGAACAAACTACTCTGAAAGAGAGTAGCTGACTAAAACATTTTTAAATGCAGTCCAGAACCATACAGATAGGTGTATCAAAAATTACATTAGCAGATCCACAAGATGCTCACCGTAGCAGGGCAAGAATATTTATGTGTATGCTTTTGACTGGAGTTGTTTCATCAAGGGCTATAGTAAGAAGCCATCATACTCCATCTAGTGGAATCATGCAATACGTTTTCCTAATCTGGCATAGAAAGATAAGAGAGTGGGTATTTCCTCATTTTATTTTCCCAGGTCGATACTAACAGGCCTCTTCCCACCCACCTCTGGAACTGTTCTGATTGGCGGCCTGGATATTCAGACTCACATGGACTGCGTTCGGCACAGATTAGGCATGTGCCCTCAGTATAACATCTTATTCAATCAGTAAGTATCATTCCATACTAGCTTTAAGAATAAGGGTCACAGTTTGCATACTTGACACATCCCCAAAGCCTGTGTTGTTTCTCTTACTGTGCTGATGGTAGATGTGTCTCAGGGGCACTTCTCCCAAAGGAGATCTGTGATCCAGATTTAGGGTAAAGAACTCCCCTCATCTTTTATCAAGATAAAGCTAGAGTGAATTTATTGCTGCTTGGGAAAAAAATCTGCTTATTCATTTAAATTGCCTTGGTGCCTTTCTGTCTGATTTCACAGCCTTACTGTAGCAGAACACATCTTGTTTTATTCCCAACTGAAAGGGAGATCCAGGGATGAAGCTGAGCAAGAGTTGGAAACAATGCTAGAAGACATGGGCCTCACCCACAAAAGGAATGAAGAAGCTCAGAATTTGTCAGGTGCTCCCAGGATTGTTCTAAAATGTTTTTTCTGCTTCTTTGTCTATGGCAATTATTGTTTGAATTACATTTTTGGGGCCATATTCTGGCACATCACTTTTCATGGGGGAGATTTTACTCTCAAAGAGTGACACTGTACAAATAGTAAAGCTGGCACAACCTGTCCCTAAAACTTCTGTTTCTTATAAATATACAACAAATCCAAATATACTTCAAGCTATTAGTTTTAAATGAGTATGTATATATAAAAATCTGTCAATGTAAGAAAAAAATACAATATTTATTACTTCAAGGCAAATTAAATATACTGTCATGCTGCTCCACCATTTGGATCCGCACTCTGTATTATTTGGTAGTAGTAATTTCTTTCATTCTAAAGGTACAAATGCACATAGTGTATTTGAACACATTTCACTTTCAGATTCTAAAGCTGATGTGAAAAAACAGCCAGGTGTTCTTATACTACTTTGTCCCGATTGCAGCTATAAAAGTTGGTTTTATAGTTGGCAACTATAAAAGTTTCACATAAGAACGTGAAAATCTCTTATCTTCCTGCTTTTGCTTCTGTCAAAAAGCAGAAAATGCAACACATAGACTAAAAATATACTTTAAAAATTTTTGAACAAGCTATTCAGAACTTCAGAGGGGAAAATGTGACTATGGATTTAACTTCCCAGAAATATTTGTCTGAGGATATGTTTTGTTTTACTCATATGAGTTTGTCTCCACACTGAAAAGCAGTGTTAATTAAATCCCTGCCACTTACATAACTCATCTCAGACTCCTGGATGTGTCTGTCCTCTGGTAGGTGGAATGCAAAGGAAACTGTCTGTTGCCATTGCTTTTGTGGGTGAAGCGAAAGTGGTGGTCTTGGATGAGCCCACTTCTGGAGTTGATCCATATTCCAGGCGATCTATCTGGGATCTTTTGCTGAAGTATCGCTCAGGTAACAGGTTGGAGTGGGGATTTTTTTTTTAATTTAAAAAACCTGTGATAAATGCAGCATGTGCCTGCTGTGTAAACTGACATGAGTAGTGGGATGAGAATACAAATCAACAAGGTTCCTTGAATGGATACCTATGGATGTGACAAATCTGGGACCTGTCTCTGCTGCATTAATTGACAAAAAACTAAGCACAACTTAGTTCCAGAGAGAGTCTATGCCTTGAACATTCCTCCTTGTTCCTTCTAGGCAGAACCATCATCCTCTCAACCCATCACATGGATGAGGCAGACATCCTTGGAGACAGAGTAGCCATCATATCCCAAGGGAAACTCTTCTGCTCGGGCTCTCCTGTATTCCTAAAGAACTGCTTTGGGTCTGGCTTCTATCTCACTCTTGTTCGCAAGATGAAAAACACCAGAATGGGAAGGGCTACAGTAAGTATGTAGCTCCATCTCTGCACAGATAATCTGAAAAATGCTTGTACGTATTCATGCACTGCACCAAGGCAGAAGGCAGTTAAGTGTACAGAACTGACTTCAAAATGAAGAAAGCAATGAGAAAATTTGATGACATCTCATGAATATGTGAGTGTCTCTGTAAAAATCTTCTCTAGTTTTATAAATATATACTCAGCCAGATAGGTGAAAATAATAGGTGGATAAGAAGCCCTCAGTGATGTATAGTTCACTCTCATCAGTTAAGTGTGTCTAAACTTTTACCAATCAAGTTGTCTTTGTCCATATACAGGTCTTTCTGATGCTTGCTTTTGAAGTATGCTGGTCATAAACCTGGTGTAGTCTAGTAACGAACTCAGACACCAGAAGAGGATACATTTATCCATAGCTAAATGAGCCTCGCACAGCTTGAGAAATAGGGATCTGGATTCTTTTTGCTTTAGTAGTGCTTCCAGTCTTAGTAGCAACATGATCTGTGTACTCATGGCCACTGCTGATCGCATTTCCCCAGGTATTTGGCATGCAATTGAGAACTGACAGATATGTTTTGTGCAGGTGGATTTGTGTTTTCTGCATTGCTTAATCCAGTCCTCAGATGACTTTCAGTATATTATGTTTAAGATGCTCCAGATATGAAATATTTTTCACTGACTCAAGCCGTTCAAAGGCTGACAACCCTTACATCCTGTTTTGCATGTATCTGAAGCACTTTCATCTTTGTATCTGTTGCTTGTCTATGCTAGTCGCTTTGTAGCTGTGGATCTCAGTGCTCCTGCTCCTGCTCCAGCTGTGCACGGAGGGACAGAGAAGAAGTTCCAGAGCAGGAACTGGATGGTAAGGAGTGAGATGGTTCAGCATTCCAGCACATAACTAAGTCTCCTATTATGCTGCAATCTCATCTTACAGATCAATGCTGCTGAGGTCCACTTCTTCAGTACTTGTGTCTAATATCTTTATTGTATTGTTACGTGAATTTTATAATGTTTCTTTGTGGTTCTGCTTACCAGTGTCCCTTTTTGATGTATATGTGGTCTCAAGTACAGATGATGAACTGGAAGTTTGTGTGCTTTAGAAGTATAGACTGAGTTTTAAACTACTCTAATGAAAACTGAAGCATATCTAGAGCAAAGAAAACTGGCTTTCTCTGAAAAAGTAATTTTGGCTTTTCTACATAAGAGAAGAACTTGAGTAGATATTTGTGAAGGTTTTGTTGTGCTTTATTAATAGACCTGAAATAGTTTCTTGCTGCATAGTTCCAGGGCATAATTAGCAACATAACCCAGTCTAGTACAAAATTAACTGAGGTATCTGTCTGTTATGTAATAGACAAGTCCCCTTTTTTAAAGTGCAAACAGTAGCTTTTTGAAATCATCCTTATCAAGGTTAAATATTCACTCTTTGAAAACTCTTTTCTCACACAGGAGATCTAAATGAGCTAGAAGAAATAATTCATCATCATATCCCAGAAGCAAAATTAATTGAAAGCATTGGTCAGGAACTCATTTACCTTTTGCCCAATAAACACTTCAAACAGCGATCTTATGCCAGTCTCTTCAGAGAACTGGAGGAAACATTGGATGACCTGGGACTCAGCAGTTTTGGAGTTTCAGACACACCACTTGAAGAGGTAACAGACAGATTAAAATGTCTGCTGATCTTACCATCAGTCCCCAAAATGTTTTCTGAGACAGTTGCTGTTTGAAACATGTAATCTTACTAATTCCTAATATCCCCTTCAAAACCTAGCCATATATGCTGTGGCACGCTCAGAAATTTTTGGGATGGGTGTAGAGAAAGGATCCAAGCCTTCCTTCACATTAGTCTTGTGGAGCATGACCCATTAGACTGAAATCTGTCTTTGTTTGTTCCTTTCTTTTCTTTCTGAGATATTTCATAAGAGACCTCTGATTGTTTAGAAAGTAGGGAGTATTGAAAAGGTATCTATTTTTTTTTTTCTGTTACATTAAAGGATGATGTATAGTGTTCCAGAGGTCAGGTTATTGTACTTGTTCTGTTCCTAACTGAGAGATGTATTTGTCTATGGCAGGTTTTCCTAAAGGTCACAGCAGAAGCTGACCCTGGAATGCAAAAAGCAGGTATAAATCCACAAATCAGTATTTGATAAACTTCTCTTGAAGGTGTTGTGTATTCTGAATGCCAAGTAAAGAAGAGCCTCAGAACCTTCAGTCTTTGTATGATGTTCTTACCAAAATAAATTTTGTCAGCAAATATCTGGTTTTAGGGCCTGACATGATATCTGAGAAACAATATGAAGACAGCAGAAAGACTTTTATTTAGATTGGATGAGGTTCTTAACTATGGAAATAAAAGTGGAGTATCAAGCTTCCAGATGTCAATGGTTTTAGTAGTTTTATAGAAAGTACTTTGCTGACCATTAGTCCATAAACTACATACATGATTAACCTGTTCATCCTGCTGAGTAAGAGGAGTGTTAACCTATATGATGCTATTAAATACAGCCACAGTGCAACAGTTGTAATTAAAGCAATCTGTTGGTGTGACATATACAGTTGGTAAAATCTCAGCTCATTAAAATGCTCTACCTTCATGTATGGGGGATAAAGTGTTTTCTCTGCTTCTTTTCATGTTAACCTAGGAGACACTCAAGAAAATGGTTCTACTCTTGACAAAACTTCTACTGAGAACAAACCAGCTGAAAAAACCCCACTGAAAACTAATGACATTTCTCAAATGCCAGTAGGCATAGCAGGAGATCAAAATGAAGGCAAAGGGTCCCGACAGTATAAAGGTTTTCAGCTTGTACATCAGCAGATCAAAGCACTGCTCATCAAACGGTTCCACCATGCCTCCCGCAGCCACAAGGACTTCCTAGCACAGGTATTGAATTCCTTTTATTGTTCTTGCCTCTTTCCCACAACATTCTCAAGACTGTCTTTCCCAGCAGTGTCTCTATGCAAAGCAACAGAGGTGCTGCAAATGGGTAACAGTGTCCCTAACGGTTCTAATTATGATTTCAACTCTTCTTCTTATTCTGCTTCTTTCTGCCTAGAGTCTATCATCTGCACCAAATTCATGATTCAATCACTGCTAGCCCAGAATTTTATTTTTAACATAATGCAGTTCTGTGACAACCAGAATCTTAACAGGAAGCACTAGAAGTTAAATTGTTGGTGTTCAGGAGCTAAACCAGATCTGAGCTGAGTGTTTCCGCTGTCCTTCTTTTGTTTATATATATGATGAGATGTGTACAGTGTCACTCTACAACATATATCTAATAACCTAGTGTGATGTTTTCATGTTCCCTGCAGATTGTTCTCCCTGCTAGTTTTGTGTTGCTGTCTTTAATACTTACAGTCATTATTCCTCCATTTGGAGAATATCCCGCTTTAACCTTACACCCTTGGATCTATGGACAACAGTTTACTTTCTTCAGGTAAGAGGAATCACTGAGTAAAAGCACATCTGTCAATAAATACACTATTTTCTCCCTAACATTTAGGACCATGGGGCCCTCTCTTACTGGGTTTTTCTCACTCTATGTGGTATAAAAAAGGATTAAGTCTACTGGAATCAGCAGATTTAAAATAGCATGAAATTGGTGCAAGTGGAGAATACAGCTGCCAGTATGTCTAACTAATAGTCCTTCAATATCTTGCTATCTGTGGTACTCTTCCTACCTGAATTCATTACCTCAACATTTAAAAAGTTACATATACTGCCTAACAAGAGACCCAGACAGCAAGAAATCTGACTGGTTTTGATATGCCATTGAACTATTCTGATACTCATAATCTTAGAGAATAATGAGATTGAAGCCTATCTGCTGACTTGTGGTAGATTTGCTTACAGTTAGTACAGTATTTGCGCAAAGTTGTGGAAACAAGATGAAAGGAGAGACTCTTGGGTTTTATTAATGCTGCTGCTGCTTAGCAGTTTCTCCCCACACAGTATCCTTTGTCTGGCTCTGAATTTTTTCTGACTATGTCAGAAGTCATGCTTTAATATTAGGAGAAAAGGACCATAGCTTTAGTCTCTTAACCGTCTTGGAAGGTTCTGTGTTTTTGCATAAATAAATACAATAACTGAATTATCAGCATTTGGAGGGGGACAGTTGGTTCTGCTGTACAGCTGTCCTTCACCAGTTGCTATGTGTATTCCAGTACAATAGTTTGAAAAAAAATTTTATAGAGAAAGCCCTATCTTATTCCCTTAGCAATGAGCGTCCTGGCAGTGAGCAGATGGTCTCCCTCACTGATGCTTTCTTGAATAAACCAGGATTTGGAAATCGCTGCATGAAGAATCAGCCTCTTCCGTAAGTTGCAAGCTAATCTTTCTTGAACGAGATTCCAGCAGGGTATTACTAGTGGAATTTGAGTAATGAAACAAGAATGAATTGGCTTGGCTTTTCACTAGAGCCCATTCTTCAGATATATTCATAGAATCGTTAAGGTTGGAAAAGACCTCAAGGATCATCAAGTCCAACCGTCAACCCACACCACCTAACTCACTAAACCATGTCCCTAAGCACCACATCTACACATTTCTTGAACACCTCCAGGGATGGTGACTCCACTGCTCCCCTGGGCAGCCTGTTCCAATGCCTGATCACTCTTTTAGTGAAGAAATTTTTTCTAATATCCAGCCTAAACCTCCCCTGGTGCAACTTGAGGCCATTTCCTCTTGTTACTTTAGAGAAGAGGCCAGCACCCATCTCACTACAACCTCCTTTTAGGTAGTTGTAGAGAATGATGAGGTCTCCCCTCAGCCTCCTCTTCTCTAGACTAAACAACCCCAGCTCCCTCAGCCGCTCCTCATAAGACCTGTGCTCCTGACCCTTCACCAGCTTCGTTGCCCTTCTCTGGACCTGCTCCAGCACCTCAATGTCCTTCTTGTGGTGAGGGGCCCAAAACTGAACACAGGATTCAAGGTGTGGCCTCACCAGTGCCGAGTACAGGGGCACAATCACTGCCCTAGTCCTGCTGGTCAAACTTGGCAGAGATGTAGAGGGGGGAGATTCTATATATTCACGTTTACCAAGCACTCTAAAATGTCCTTCTTATTCCTAACTCGCAGGATAAGGGCTGAGAGAAGAATGTCTGCTGAGAGTATTGTGTTTTTGTGGATTTGTGTGCTCTCTTGAACTGTATCTCTGCACAGCTTAAAGAGTTTGTTCCTCTACACAGGGACTACCCATGCAATAATATGCCAACTGCCTGGAACACACCTGCTGTTCATCCTAACCTGAGCAGCCTCCTGCTGAGCCAGAAGTGGAGCCCTGAGAATCCTTCACCTTCCTGCAAGTGCAGCACTCACAAGAAACTTACTATGCTGCCAGAATGCCCTGCAGGCGCAGGAGGTCTCCCGCCACCACAGGTAGTGTCCCTGTGCCGTAAATCTTTGTAGAAAAGTTCCATGGCAAGTCTTGGAAAAGAGTTTAGTGTGTCAATACGTTGCCATGCCAATATACATGGAAGGAATTGAGTACCTTTTTTTTTTTTTAAGGGAGCAAGAATTGCTGGAATTTAGAATTCCATTTCAGCAGTGTTGAAAAACTTGCACATTTAAATGAAATTTGTTTACTATTTTCATCCAAATTGCAAACTTTTCATATAGAAGAAAATCACAAATCAAATAATTTTTTTAAAATCTTATTTTTTTCTGCCTTAGAAGATTGCCTTTCTTTAAAGAAGGGAAGGGAAGGAGGGAGAAAGAAGAAAGGAAGGAAAGAAAAGATGTAAAGATTTTGAAAATAACAGAGTGGGGTCATCTCATTAAAAATGGAAAAATTAATATTGAATCAACCCCAAATAATTTTTTTATGTTGTCTTTTGGTTCCATTTCTAGAAATAAAGTTCTAAGCTAGCAAAATGAATGCTTGTATGCATGTGCATGAAGATGAGTAATTTAATAACCACTGATGCTCTGTGGAGAAGAGATGAGAGCTACACTCCCACCTGTTCCTATCAATTAATAATCTTAGTAGTACCCTTTATAAAATGTGCTTGCTCTTTTGAAGAGCAAAGGAAAATTATAGCATGTTAGTGTTTACATTTTCTAAATTATTTTCTGACAAGTTAAAGAAAACAGAACTGCAGCCACTCTCAGAGTAATAACTCACTAATTTAATGTCTCACCGTGCACACCATTCAACTTTAATATTGCTGTTTGCCAGGCTGCACACATTAGCCAAATGACTAAAATAATTCTAGTTTTAGCATTAATGTCACAAGCTTAATCAACTTCTGAATCCAAATCCATTACATGATGTCTTGAAAATACTGATTCAGCTTGCTTTGGTTTCTCTATCGCTATTCACAAAACAACAAAGCAAAGTTGTTTTAAATATCTGTAGAATTCCTGTCTACAAAGAGAAAAAGGAAATTAATAAAGATATTGTATCCTGACCTTAACTTACAGCATCCCAAGTTTTCTATTTTCCAGGTAATCACTGTCCAATGGACAGCCAAAGTTGAATTTTGCTAATTGCATGCTAGTGTATTTGAGAGGGAAATTTAGTCTAAATTATTTTTTTGTTTGTTTATGGGGATTCTAGTCCTCTAATGAAAATGTATTTATTATCCTGGTAATTTTGCAGGATATGATAATTTTGTATGACTTGTCAGGAAGAAACAGTTCACATTTGAGTCTCCAGGGAAGCAATAGCATGTAAATAATTGTGAAGTATGTCTGAGCATAAACAGCTCATTTAATGAAGTCACTGTGACAATGCTACCAGTCTTCCTGTGTATTGTCTAGAATCATCTAGACATCTGTAATGTATCTTCTGTGTCATCTGGTACTGCCTCTCTGTGGTCAAACGTAGACTTACGAACTTTCCAGAAGTTCCTTACTTTCGAAGTCATTACTAGGTTGTTTGAGGTTGCAAGCGTTGCCCTGTGAACCTTTTTAAGTATATTCTACCTTGGGATAAACTCAGCAAGTCTGATGTCTCACAGAGGTGTCATGTGGCATAATTTTAATTACAAAAAAAAAAGAGAAATTTTCATTCAAAGTACCTAACTTGCTAGTGAAGGTGAAGTTTTCATATTAATTTTTACTTCGACTTGCTAAATCATAGAAAACTACCTTATCTTCACTGGGGCCACAATTTATTTGAAAAGCTTCCTTCTTTCACAGAAAAAGCCTTGAGCAACCCTGGCCTTTGCAAATAATTTGGATTAAGTTTTGGACTGAAGTGGAACTGTGTTGTGTCAGTCATCACAGGTTTCTGTGATTTCACGATTTCTTCTGAAATCTTAGTAAAGTAAGGGTGTTTGGACTAGCAAATGAGTGACCTTCTCTCATTTCAGTGATACTATGATCCCAAGTAATTACTCTTAACCAAAGATACTTTTGCTGTTTTCCTGACAAATACTTAATAGCTTTAGAGACTGTAATGTTTACTGTGATTGATTAGGCTTTCTTTTCTTTCCAGAGAGTGCAGCATAGCACAGAAATTCTTCAAGATCTGACCCACAGAAATATTTCAGATTTTCTGGTGAAAACATATCCCACTTTGATAAAAGGGAGGTAGGGATGACTCTCTCTTTGTTTTCACATGTGGTATTTTGTACCTAGCTATGAAATTCTCATTTAATGGTAACATAGAACCTGATGTGCCACAGTATTGTGTAGACTTGAGCACAATGTCCATATTCCTGATGTAAGAATAGGAGATGCTTATTTTAGGGGAGTTAAATTGTTTTAATTATACCCATCTTTATAATCAGGTACTCCTTTGTAGGCAGAGCTAAGTTTCAGTGTTGATGGAATGCCATGTTAATGCTAACGGTGTCAATAGTGAGAGAAGGAACTCCTGAGCAAACTCAAAAAAAGGAAGCATAGAGAGGGTGGAAGCAAGGACAGGTAGCCTGGGGACAATACAGAGACACTATCCATGAAGCCAGACATCAGGTTAGGAAAGCTAAAGCCCTAACAGAATTAAATATGGCCAAGGATGTTAAGGGTAACAGGGAGAACTTCTATAGGTATGTCAGCGATAAAAGGAGGACTAGGGAAAATGTGGGCCCCCTCTGGAAGAAAATGGGAGACCTGGCGACCCAGGATATCGAGAAGGCTGAGGTACTTAACGAGTTCTT